GCCACCTCCTGGGACAATGGTGTCTCGCCTGCTGCTGCGCGTGTGGCCCCAGGGTCCTGCCTTTGGCCCTGGAGCCTCCTGCCGACCCCTCAGCACTGGCCCCGGGGCCACCCAGTACCTGCAGCGCAGCATCGTGCCCACCATGCACTACCAGGACAGCCTGCCCAGGTGAGCCCAGCCTCCCGCCGCCACCGCACTGGCCAGCCCAGGATCTGCCCCAACCTGACTCCAGGCACTCAGAGCTCCTTTACCTAACCCGCGTCAGTCCCCTGGAAACTTTGTCTGTGACTTTAAGAATCCCCACCCAGTTACCTCAAACTCTCTTCCAGAACCCCCATTCTGGAAGATTCGCTTGTTTCAATATTTTAAAACCTTCTCAAACCTTGTCTTAAGCACCCCAGCTTCCAACCAGATACCCTAAGAGCCCCTCACATTTTTATTCTGAAATGTGTTCTACCAAGGTATCTTCAACTCTAGCCTAAATCCTTTAATTTCGGTGCCCTTGGAAGCACCTTCACGACCACCCCAGAGTTTAGGTAGGCCAATTTCTGGCACATAATAGTTACCTTCCTGCAGTTCTGTCTATGCTTCAACCTTCTAAATTCACCTTCTGAGATTCCCTGTTACCCCTAACCGCAGCCCAGCTCTCCACTCTGCCAGGACTCTGCCGGTTTGGCACCCCATCGGGTCATCCCCAGCACATACTTCAAGGGCTCCCTCTTACCCTCAACTTGTTAAGTTCCATCGAGTGGGTTCCAATCCACAGCGACCCTGTTTAGGGTTTTCGAGGAGCGACTGGTGAGCTTGAACTATAGACTTTGTGATTCAAACCAATTTTGCAGTCCAGCGGATTAACTAACCCACAGCGCCATATCAGGAGTCCTCAGTTTACACTCCTTCCAATCCTCCTCAGAGTTCTAACACCAATCTTTACCTGAAAGCTGCTCATCCCCATAAACCCTCCTGACACCCCCAGGCAAAAGTTCCTCCCTCACCCATATTATCCAGTTTACGCTTAAGGAATTCTACCTACCTTCTTCAGTACCCCTCCCAAGCCCCATCTCAATCAAATTAGATCCGGAGCCCACCCAATACTATATGCTCCCCTCTATTGAAAATCCTGCTCCCCTCAGTGGCATCTGAAACATGTTGCCCAGATTCTACTTCCTCTCTGAAAATAGACCCAATACATTTTCTCTTTACTTTTCCTCACTTTCTATTTTCTCAAAATCTAACTCCCAGTTATCCCAGCCTTATCTGAGTTGCCAAGTCTCCCTCGCCAATATTAAGGGTTTCTTCAAATTCCTTTACCCTCTGTCCAAACCTAAACTAACCCGGAGCCAAACTCCAAATTTGTCTCAAAGATCCTTCTCACATTCTTTCTCACTAAACTGCTACTGCCACCAGAAATCTCCCAGTCTACCAACCCACAAACCTTGATCTATTGTTTACAGTCGCCGTATTAGATTACTAGGCATTGTGGCAGATAAAACATAACCCTTGTCCTACTAGATAACAAATGTAGAGAGGTTTTTGTTTGCATTACTCCTTCTTCAGGTGACAGTACTCTACATTGGTTTGAGGATTGGAGAGAATCTGGTGACCCAGTAACTAAATCAGTCAAACGAAGAGGTGGGCATATGACCCAAGACCAATCAGATACTTTCCCCCAGGAATCTGAATCTTGAGCAGAAGAATAAAAACACTGAAACAGATTTTATATACATACACACACATATAGTTGTTTAGTGCTGTTGAGTTGATTCCGACTCATAGCAACACCATATAGGGTTTCCAAGAAGTGGCTGGTGGATTTAAACTGCCGACTTGCCGGTTCAAACCGACCTTGTGGTTCAGTGCTTTATCCTACAGTGCCACACCAGGAGTCCTAAAGCACTGGACTGTGAACCACAAGGTCAGCAATTCAAATCCACCAGCCTCTCCTCAGAAACCCTATACAGGGTCGCTATGAGTTGGAACTGACTCAATGGCACCTAACAACAGCTCTCTATATATTTGTTGTTAGGTGCCGTCAGATCAGTTCCCACCCATAGCGACCCTGTATAGGGTTTCCGAGTAACTGGTGGGCTTAAACTGCAGACTTTGTGGTTCAGACCGACTTTGTAGTCCAATGCATTAACTCACAGCACCTCACACACACAGAGATGTGTGTGTATGGAGCTTGGTGTGGCACTGTAGGTTAATGTGCCAGACTGTAACGCCATTTGAACTGCAAGGTTGCCAGTTCAAGCTTACCAGCTGCTCCTCGGAAACCCTCGAGTCGGTTCCGACT